AGCTTATTGATCGATTTATAGATGTTTTTCCTTGATCTGCTTGATAATCTTCCGCGTCTCCGTCTCTCTGATGATCACATGAAAGCCATCATTTGGGCAATGAAGGACATCAGGAAAATCCAGATCGCTAAATTATGCACAATTAACGTGATCAACCGAATTGTGCACAAACATGCACAATTCTGTTGGAACGTGAATAACAGAAGGAGTCAACTTTCAATTATGCAAGATTGTGTTCCATTCCAACTGAATAAAGCTCAATTTCCTCAGCTTTCCCTTTGATGAGGAAAGGTGCGAGTGAGTCCAATTACAAACCACACAAATGTTTATGGCACATATAGTAGTACTATTTTTTTGACTGTATCAGAATGCACTAAGTACAAAATGGAAGTTTGACACTACGATGGCAGTCATCTACGGAGGGGCGTGTCAAACTGAGAAGGGGTGGCATGTGAACGCACGGAACTCAGAGTCAGACACGATGTGTTATGACGACTGATATTGGGTAACTACCTGTGAACGCACGGAACTATGTACAGGTAGTAGTCAGTATAATAAAGTGAAATGTATATAAAGTAAACTCACCTCAGAGTCAGACACGATGTGTTATGACGACTGAGGTGAAGAGAAATAGGGTTTTCGTATTTATAGGAATGGGGACGGTGGCTTGCACAAAGACTGGCAAAGTAAACGTAAAGACTAGCAAATAACGGAAGTAAAAAGATGAATAGAAAAGAGAAAAAGGAGTAACAAACAAAGCGTACGCGTAAACAATAAGGTCACGAGACGTCTTCTTCAACACTCCCCCAGACGGCGAGGACCTAGAGATCCATTTTGAGTGCTCTAACGAGCTTTTGATGTGTGATCCGGTGAAGTGGCTTCGTAAGGATATCCGCGATGTTGTCCTCCGAGGGGACATGCACGACTTTGATCTCTCCGTTAGACACGCGCTCCCTAATGTAGTGGTGTCGAATGTCGATGTGTTTAGCGCGTGCGTGACCTTTGGTGTTGAGAGTAAGTGCGATGGATGACGCGTTGTCGCCGTAAAGTACAGCGGGGAAGTCGCAGGTCAAACCGACTTCGGACATGAAAGAATACATCCATAGAACTTGCTGGGCGGCACGCATAAGAGACATGTACTCCACCTCGGTTGTTGAGAGAGCAACTGTCGCCTGTCGTTTCGAGCTCCAAGAAACTGGCCCACCAGCCATAGTGAAGACGTATCCTGACGTTGAGCGACGGGTATCGATGTCTCCAGCATAATCGGCATCAACGAAACCGATGGGGGAAAGGTCTCCTCCCCTCGAATAAGT